TGTGTGTATATATATATATATTTTTTTTTTTTGGTCTTTTTGAGGCAGGGTGTCACTATGCAGTTAAGGTTGGCCTTGAGCTCACTTGTAGCCCAGGGTGGTTTTGACCTCACAACGACCCTCCTGCTTCAGCCTCCCAAGTGCTGGGATTACAGGTATGTGCCACCATGCCCAGCTGACAGAATATAAATGGGGCAGAAAAAAGCTTCTAAGGTCCCTTGTTTGCTTTGTTACCTTCCACCCACCGTGAACTGTTTCTCCTCTGCCATGCCCCTCTGCCACGCCACCCAGCACTGCAGACAGCCAACTAAGGACTGAAACTTCTACAAACTGTGATCCAAATAAACCTTTCCTCTCTTAACTTTGAGTGCCAGGTATTTTGTTTCAGCAACAAGAAATGTAACTAAGACAAGTACTTTAGACTGTCCTTTTACTAATGCACAGGTAAAAAAAATACAAAAACCCTACTAGGGTACACATCTTTTGATATAGTTCTCCCTGCCATAATAAATTATTACTTATTGAGTGCTAAGTGCCAAGAACTGTCCGCAGTGTTTACACAGAACCTCACTTAATCCAATTCAACTTTCTGAAGTGCTACTGTTATTTCTATTGTACAGTTTAGTATACTAAGGCACAAAAAAAACTAAGTCACTTGCCCAAGTTCACTAACATTCACACCCCTACCCTGCCGACTGGTTCAAACTGGACTTCTGTTACCGCAACATATCATTCTACTGGATTTCTGTTTAATACAGTTTGCACATTCCTCTACAGAGTACCAACTACACAGTTCAAAGTGTTAAGCCACCATTTATCAGTTACAAGAAGTATAATTCTCCCAGGAAACTTGCTCCCATTTATAATCATCAGACCACAGCTACAGCTACAAGATAAGGCACACTACGAAAAGACATCTTAGAGGAGACACTCCATCCTACTGCCTGTAGCAGATATGGCTGGATGGCTCACCCAGTATCCATTCCTATTTCCTTTTCCATGCCTGCCTAAGAAAACAAAATATTTATTTTCTTAAGCTTCCTGGCCAGGCACACAATTTTGTTTTGTTTTTTGTTTTTTTTTCCGGTACCAGGAATCGAACTCACGACCTCACACTTGCTAGGCAGGCGCTGTGCCGCTGAGCTAAATCCCCAGCGATTTTGGAAAACTAAGGTATTACAACATAAAGAGATTCCAGCACAGCAGTTAAATAATAGGCTTGAGAGCCAGAATGCCTGAACTCACTGCAACTTCAGCTGTGTATATCTGCCAATTTATGTAACCTTTGTTACTAAGGATAACGACTGTATCTAACGGTTGTGAGAAATGAAAAAATTAATAAATGTGAAGAATTCACAAGTACTTGATATCCAGTAAGCATGTTATAAATGTTAGCAATTGCTATCTTTTATCACCTGTCAGTGCCATAATATACCTCTAAGACATATTAAGTAAAAGAAGCCAGGTACAGAACAGCACATGTAGTGTGTTCCAAAACTGATTGGGAAAATCTATACCATTTATGTCTCACTTCTCTACTTGTTGGATTAAATTTTTTAAATAGTGTGCTTGAATTCCTTAGAGATTTAAAAATTACGTTTTTTTACCAAGTCAAAAAAAAGTTTGTTTCAAAATGCTAAAAAAAGTTGGGTATGGTGATACACATCTATAATCCCAGGATTCTGGGAGGCTGAGGCAGAATGATCCACAAGTCTAAGCTCAGCCTGGGAAATTCAGTGAAACCCTATCTCAAAATTAAAAATCTAAAAAAAGGCTAGTTACTGGGTGTGGTGGTATATGCTTATAATCTTAGCACTCAGGCTGAGGCAGGAGGATCTCTGTGAGTTCTGGGTCAACCTGAGCTACATGACAAGATCCTGTGTCAAAAATAAACTCACTTAATTAATTAATCAATCAAGTAATTAAAAGGGCTGGGGGATATAGCTCGGTGTAAAATGGATTCACTCCCCAGTACTGATAAGACAAAAAGCTCAAAAAAAACCCCCCCCAAAAAAAAATCCTCTTCTTTTTAATTTCAGTTGTTTACCAGCAAAATATACAGCCAACTCGCAAGAAGTGACAAGCTTCCTTTCAGAGACATTCAAATAAAAGCTGGGTGGGAGTCTGTTAGACATGCCCTGGACGATGTCTGTAGTCAGCCAAAAAGGCATCTAAGTGCAAACTCCAATCTACCATATTTTTGGTAGAACAAAAGGAAAAAGGACCTTGGGGAGATGTCTCTTTATAATCAAGAATTGTGACCATCAGATTGCTGGTATCAGACGAAGCACAGCAGCTGTACTCCAAAGACAAGGCCGTCTCATCTTTCTAGGACAGAGATCAAGAACACAAGCTCTCAAGCCAGATAGTCACGGTGGCACACCTACACCAGCCATTTCTTCACCATGTGAAGTGGACCAAGCTGTGTAATGTCTTTCGAGTGTTTTCTCATTTGTAACATGGGAATAACATGCAGACCGTACAGAGCTCGTGTGAGAAATAAGCCAGCCAATGAACGGAAAGCCTACGGCACTGCACCAGGCACAGGGCAAAGTGCCTGAGCAGTAGCAGCGATCGCTTCAAATGACTTGTTCCATGTGTCAATCTTTAATTGACAAACATAAAAAATGACAAACCGGAGAGGGATTTTAAACTAACGAGCGCAAATGATTACACACAGCTGTTTCTGCACACCCCACACCTGGGTGTTAAGTCAGGATGGTCCCACTGGGTTCTAACCTACAAGGATACTGTTCTGCCTTCCTCACTCACAGCAGGTCTGAGCACTAGGGAAGCCGATCTTCTCAGCCCCTCACTTCTCAGTCTTCCTTCTAAGCAAGAGGCCAGAGAGAACCAGGAAGAGCCACCTTGTGTGTCAGCCAGAGGCACCGATAAGAAAACCCTGGCGAAGTCCCTTGTTCTCTGACCTTGGTGCCTAGAAGACAGTTCTAAGGGCCCCTCACGCGTGTATGTGATTGGACTCAAGTACAGATATTTTCGTCTGCACTGAGGGATTCTGGCAAACTCGGGGGGAGGTTCAGTGGTTCCAGATTGGAAAATAAGTGGTCACAAATGCTTCACCTTTAGTGACATAAGACAAATACCTTGGGCAAGGTGTAACCAGCTGACTAACAGAGTTATAGGAGAGACCCTCAAACCGGAACTTTGTATATGCAAAACCTAGGGTGCTGGGGGCCTGTCCTTTAGTGAAAGCCAAAAACCCTAACAAAGAGAATACTAGAAAACCTTTTATTAACCAACTTAGGACACCTAAGGTCATTCTAGGAAGATGAGAAACACTCACTATCCTCCCTTCAGTTTTAGTAGCCACAGAAATTTGCGCTCTCAAGCCACAATTTTCCCAAGAATTACGAGCCACTGCAATTTGTTGCAATTGTGGCCACTGACAAATGTGTCAGCAGCAGCAGCAAGAAAGCTGGGCGCTATCTGTGTGAGGGGTGCACACTGGGGCGCTGCATGGCTGTGAGCAGCACGCCAGCCACGTGACCTCCACGCTGGGCGAGCGCTGCTGCTCTGCAGGCCCATTTCAGACAGCTCTAGTCATCTGCAGGGCCAGGGGCTAGCATGCTGGGGTCAGATAATGGCGCAAGTGACTGCTAACAGGTAAGTTGTAAGCACAGCACAGGAAGACAGCTCCTCCAGATGTTCTCTGAATAAATTCTTAAGAGGTCTGAGCCTTGAAGGATTGAAAAATTCTAAATTAAAAAGGAAAAGAGGTGGAAATTGTCAAAGAGATAAGAACTCTTTTAGATGCTGACCACTCACTTTGTCCCCAAGTTCAGCTTAGAGCTCAAGCAAACTCAAGATCTGTGGCAGTCACTAGACTTGTGTCAGAGGCAAAAACTTCTGGTAGTAGCTCTTGGTGACGTCAATCATCAGTTCCTGAGTACACTCCGGGAGCTCCCCTGAGAAGAGTCCTGGGGACAAAAGAAACCTGGTCAATAAAGAGTGTCAGGGAAGCCCACAGTTCTGACTTCTATTCAAATTGCTGGAGACCTTTACTTTTATCTAACTGCTAGGTTTCCCATCGTCAGTACTGACATATCTACTGATCATATCTTCCAGATGGTATGAATTTGTGACAAGGTCTGAAGGGGACAAACAGTTCTCCAAAGAAACATATTCCAGGTGAAAGAAGTCAGAGCCGGATGTGGTGGTCCTCCAGAAGGCTGCGGCAGGAGGATCATAAATTCAACCCTAGCCTGGGCAATTTAGTGAGACCCTGTATCAAAATAAAAAAAAAAGGACTGAGGATATAGCTCAATGCAAAGGCCTTTGATTTAATCCTCAGTACCAAAAACAAAACAAAACAAAACAACCAAACAGGACATCTGAAGAGTTAAAGCATCTCTGACTGCTTCGGAGGTTGTTTCAGATGAGGACTTGGGGCTGGGAATATAGCTCAGTGGCACAGCACCTGCCTAGCAAGCACAAGGTCCTGAGTTCGATTCTTGGTCCAAAAAACTAAACAAACAAGCAGACAAGGACTTGTCTACTCCCAAGATTCTAGTGTGATTCCCCACAGAGCCAGCTTTACCTCTATCCGTGAGGTAAGAAACGGTTGGGCTGGGGATATAGCTCAGTGGCACAAGCGCCTGCCTGTCAAGCGCAAGGCTGTGAGTTCAATACCTGGTACCTCAAAAAAAAAAAAAAAGAAAAAGAAACTATTGTTCTGTTTGTAAATGAAACTAAACTCAATGCCCAACTTTCCAAGATAAGAGATAAATTAAAAAAGAAAAAATAGAAAAGGTCCTCCAGAAAGACAAATGATGGTATAATCACAAGTAAGAACTTCCAAGGGAGAAAAGAAGGAAGGGAAAAGCAAATATATATATTTGCTTTTTATATTATATATACTTTGGGTTTCTCATG